AAAGATTGAGATAAATCTGGCATGCGAAACAACTGACCATCTGATGGTTTCAAGGCCTTTTTGAATCAGAATGCAAACATTCTATTCCTCTGTGCAAAAATTCAAAATAGCGTCTATAAGTGTTGAAGCTGGAGCTCAAGAAACAAAACGTCATATTGAATTATGCCATCATGCAGAGTAGAAAAAGTGGCAATGTTAATATGCAATTATTTTTCGAATCTCATTATAAATGAAGTCACAAGAAATTAATTTAAGCGACTTGGTATCCCTCACAGTTTCCGTTATCCCAAGGATGACGGCCGCATTTGGAACACCCGGTATATTGACCAATCGTAGTTACACCAGATTTTGTAAGTGATACTTAACGTAGATTGCTACTGGTTCAAGACGCCCAAGTAGTAATCTTCTGTCGTCTAGATTATCAGTAAGCTGTTGTCATCTGTTCTCTTGGTGTCTTACGGTACAATACAGGGTGTTTGGTGCATCGTTTGCGAAATTGAAGTGGCGGACAGAGGAAGCCTTTTTCTATCACCACAGGTCATTCAAACAGTTTTTAGCCAAATGGCATTATTAATTTTTTTAGTAAAAACTCCAAAATGTAATACACAAAGTAAAATAAAAAAAATAAAGAGTATGTCCACCTAATGATTAATCTATCTTAATGGGTTGTTGTACCAATCTTACAAAATCAACATTACTTGCCAGCAGCATGTAGTTTTTTTATGTATAAACTCACAAGGGATTACAAAGAAGAACAAAAAAATGTCCCAAATTTGAATTTCTGTAAAAAAAAAATAAAAGCGTTCACGTTCTTATAATTCGTTTAAAAACCACTCTAGTTTATTGCGATTCTAACGGTATGCCACAACTCACAAAAAAGTAGAAACAATTTCTTGAATTTGCAAATTTATTGTACAGGGTCAAATTTTTTCGGTCGGGCAATAACAATAAATTTTTCTTTCTGTTGTGTAATTTACTCGTACAACGTAACTCAGATAAAAACTTTTGTCTCCCTCTAATTATTAATAAATTAGTAATTCAAAAAATGAAAAAAATTTATTGATTTTATTCAAAAGTGAGTTTAAATATTTATATTAGACGCTAGATATTAAATTCACTCACATTAAAAATTCATACCCCGCCATTGATAACCCGAATACCGGTGGTTGAGTGACGTTCACGTGAACACTGATGAGTTTTTACAGTTTCTGTTAGCTATGGCACGTTATTTTTGTTGCAAAGAAGAGTGAAATATTTTGAAGGAATGTGAGCAATGGGTATGAGAGGCAGTTTAGCTTGACATTCAGAATCGCATAGATTTTTAGCGTGTGTTCATCATCAAATATGTTTGCGTTTCCATACTGACAGTATATTGAGAATATAAGATATATGTGAGCCTTTCGCTGAATCGCTACGCTACGCCATTGAATATGTTTTGTTTACTTGTGGCGACCGTGAATATTCCGATGTGCTGCGATGTGTTTTTGTGGGCAAGGTGGTTAGTCATAAATCAAATTCAAGCGGATAACCAAATGAAAATGGTATCTACCATTTTGGATTGGTATTTACCGATCCGTTCAAGCGAGTGTGGTTATCAGTTTGGTTATAAGATCCGTGACGTCATGAATGAGCTGTTATATGTCATAGTTATCACCGCAAAATTGTGGTATTTACCCAACTCAGGAGTAGTTTTATATTTGTGGTTATTATTTGACATGTGACAAGTTAGAGTTTTGCCGGGTATTGGATATTTTTATTGTACTTCAGCTTCATTTTTGGGAAACTTGATACAGGCTGACTTCAGTTTTAACATAAGAGAGCACCTTATTAGTTATAATCATTACTGTTGTTGGAGACACTTTAAATCTAGTTCCCACGCTTACCAAAGTATCCTGTATAGCCATATACCACAAGAATATTAAAATATGGCCATATAAACTCACTGTATGATGTCCACCTGTATACAGTTTTGTTAATATCTTTTTTTCATCGCTTTTTCATCATTTAAAATATTGTCTTTGACACGCGAAAAAGTTTTGAGAATTGAATGTTATCATAGATACAAAGCCATGGTTCCATCAGTAAAAAAAATTTTATGAAAAAAAAAGATTTCTCCCATTAATATTATGAAAGGTTTCTTTTTTAAACTTTCCATATCCCGTTGTAGCCGAAATAGCACCGATTATTAAGTGATAATAAAAATAATCAGAAATTATATACGCTCTTTTCTAAAATAAACAACTTGAAACAAACCGCGGTTAAAACCAACGCGTTCAAGCGATTCGAGTAACTGACGTCATCATTCCGTGTGTCATCTTGAACCATATTATAACCGCGGTACATAATACGGAAATTTTGGTTATTCGCTTGGATTTGATTAATATATCAGACAGCAAATGTAAGGATGGGTCAATTTTGGCGAAGTAAGATCGACTATCATACCTTCAATCGTCATTATCGATTTTACTAATTTCGGAGTATTATTAATCAAATTCAAGCGGATAACCAAATGGAAATGGTATTTACCATTTTGGGTTGGTATTTACCGATCCGTTCAAGCGAGTGTAGTTATCAGTTTGGTTATAAGATCCGTGACGTCACGAATCAGCTGTTATATGTCATAGTTATCACCGCAAAATTGTGGTATTTACCCAACTCAAGAGTAGTTTTATATTTCTGGTTATTATTTGAATTGTGACAAGTTAGAATTCTGCCGGGTATTGGATATTGTTATTGTACTTTTGCTTCATTTTTGCGAAAATTGATACAGGCTGACTTCAGTTTTACCATAAAGTGTAGCACCTTATTAGTTATACTCATTACGGTTGTTGGGGACACTTTAAATGTAGTTCCTATGCTTAACAAAGTATCCTGTGTAGCCATATACCAGAAGAATATTAAAATATGGCCATATAAACTCACTAGATGATATCCACCTGTATACGGTTTTGCTAATTTCTTTTTTCATCATTTCTGCTGAATCAATAAATGTTTTCTTTGACATGTGGAAAAATTTAGAGAATTGAAAGTTATCATAGCTACAAAGCCATGGTTCCATCATTAAAAAAAAAATCTGGAAAAATTGATATGAAATGAATATTATGAAAGGTTTCTTATTTAAACTTTCCATATACAGTTGTAGACGAAAAAGCACCGACTATTAAGTGATAACAAAAATAATCAGAGATTATATACGCGCTTTTCTAAAATAAACAACTTGCAACAAAACCGCGGTTAAAACCAATGCGTTCAAGCGATTCGTGTAACTGACGTCATCAACCCGTGTGTCATCTTGAACCATATTATAACCGCAGCACATAACACAGAAATTTTGGTTATTCGCTTGGATTTGATTATAGGAGTCTTGTAACAGATGCTGGAGTGGATACATGTGATACAAGTTATGAAGTGTTTGATTTTCCCTAGGAAAATGATAATTTTCTCACATATACAAAATGAATTCAAATACGTTCTGCGTGTTTCAATGTAAAGAAGTGCCTGATAAAATATTGATTTTCACTGAAGAAAAATCAAGACAGTGCCATGAGAAGCTATGCGTTCGTTGCTATGTTGAATTACGTCAACATATGGAGAGGACACATTTCATCGCAAATATACTAAGTGACATATAAATCCGAACACCCAGTTTAAATGGTTTTATTTTAATAAAATTTTGTATAAGTACTTAATGAAGCATAATAAGTAAATGATAAAAATTTCAAAATGATTGCACTGCTTTAAAGCCCTTTGACCTTTAATAATGTGTGGATGCACCCTGATGTGCTACGCATTCTCCAACGCGCCTAGGCATGCTTCTGATCAGGTGGTCAATGTCCTCCTGTGGTATCTCATTCCAGGCAACCACCAACTCCTCTCGAAGTGCTTCTAGAGTCTGAGGAGGACGTTGCAAATCGAGCAATCTCCTACCCATCATATCCCACACGTGCTCAATTGGGGATAAGTCGGGAGATCTTGGTGGCCATGGTAACGATGTGACATCATTATGTTGAAAGAAGTCTATTGTGACTCTTGCAACATGTGGTCGGGCATTATCTTGTTGGAAAGTTGGATAGGATAAAAGATGGGGTTCTAGAACTTCGTGGATATAACGCTGCGCGTTCATGTTACCTCTGATGAAGATTAAAGGTGACCTGGAACCATAAGCTATAGCACCCCAAACCATAACTCCAACAGTGTGATGAACATGTCTTTCAACAAAAAACTGTGGATTCCTCCTTTCACCACGTCGCCTTCTAACCCTGACACGACCATCGTGCATGCCTAAACAAAATCGAGACTCGTCAGTAAAGACAATACTCTTCCATTCCTGATCCCAGAGTGACCGCTGTCTGCACCACTCAAGGCGATTACGTCGGAGTTCTCGAGTTAAAGGGAGGACCCAGTGTGGCCGGTATGAAAACAAGCCAAAACTTCTCATCCGTCGGTAAACACTTCGCATGCCAATAGGTCTTCCGTGTTCTGCAAACCATTCATTTGCAATGGACCTGGTAGTGGAGAAACGGTCCCTTAACGCCAATAATCTTAGGCGGCGATCTTCACGATCTGTTGTTCTACGGCAGCGTCCAGTGCCCCTTGCTCTTTGCGTACGGCCTTCTCGAAGCCATGCCTGACAACACCTAACCTACACTTCTTTGCACTCTAACTGAAGTTGCCCGAAAAGAAAGTCCAGCTTCCCGAAGTCCCACTATACGGCCCCTATCAAACTCACTAAGTTGACGAAATCGTACAGGTCTCCGTACTCTAGGCATCGTAACCGATCGTAAAGGATATCAAGAACCAAAATCCGCCAACGTTGATTCTTTACTGCGGCTGAAATATTCATTTTTAGAGCGTTAGTGAATTAAAAAAAAGCAGTATAAAAACCGGAATGTCCAACTGATAAGGCTGAAAATTTTTTCACTTGTTATAATTGTATATACATTCACCAACTTTTATTAAAATAAAACCATTTAAACTGGGTGTTCGGATTTATATGTCACTTAGTATAATGGACAAACGCGACTTTGTTTGATCCATATCAATTGGACGCCGGACATTGCGGATGGATATTGGATGGATCCAGCTATGATTTCAAATGGTTGGAAGGACCACAATTGCCACCATCTGTCAAAGACATTCTCACTGATAGTGAATATTCGGAAGGTAGTTTAGAATTTAATATTTTGTCAATTTATAAACTGAACAGAATTACTATTTTGTACTTTTAGCTGACGTTGATAAAACCATATATAACAGCGACGGTGACCTTGAACTTGATAACGATATGGAAAAGGATGGTTATGACACAGACTAATTTTACATTGGATGTTTGTTTAAATATTGATTAATTAGTATTAACATTCGCTATTCATTAGTATAGGTATGTGGTTAGTAGTGTTGTATTAGACGTACATATAAAACAATGTCTTCCGAATTTTCTGCAGAATAAGTTGCCCGAATTGGTGAATGAGGTGCCAATTTTCAATGGCGACAGACGAATTGTGTTCCAACATGATGGCTGTCCTGGAAACTGGAGGCTAATTGTGTGGGAATATCTAAATGATGTTTTTCCGAATGCGTGGATTGGACGAGAGGGTCCTATTCAATGGCCTGAAGAATAGAAGAGGCGTTTGGTACGATTCGGCAAGAAATTCGCCTACGCACAACAACCGTCCAGATGAGACAAAGGTGTCGTGTGTACGTACGCAATAGAGGACAATTCCAACAAGATTTGTGAAACAGAAAAAATAATAAATTATTAAAATTTGATTTTTCACGTTTTTTTATTTTCCTTCCTCTGTACACAGCATTTGTAAATTCAATAAGTCAGTTAAACTTATTTGTGACTTGTGGCATACAGTTAGAATCGGGATAAACTAGAGTAGTTTTTAAAAGAATTCTAAGAACGTGAACGCTTTTAATTTTTTTTTTTACAGAAATTCAATATTGAGACTTACATTCTTTTGTTCTTCTTTGTAACCCTTTGTGAGTTTATAAATAAAAAACTACATGCTGCTGGCAAGTAATGTAGATTTAGTAAGATTTGTACAACGTCACCCATTAAGATAAATTAATCATTAGGTGGACATACTCTTTATTTTTTTTTATTTTACTTTGTGTATCACATTTTGTTATTACTAAAAAAAATTAAAAAATTTACTTAATTAATTCCGTTGGGCTAAAAACTATTTGAGGGACCTGGGGTGATAATTTAACGTGGATATAATTCGAACTCATGTGCTTAAGGAGTCCGCCTTGAACGCGATTGTCATGAGTTCGAGTCCCAGGAGCGCCTCGTTTTTTTTTAAATTCCTGCTTCGGTTCCTTTGACAATTTGAAAAAACAAACTTAAATTTGAATTACGGATGAATATTAACTGGGTATAAAATACTACCTAGGCCAGTTGGTCTGCCGGACGACACGTGACATGACATAGAGTTGGTGAATGAAGGGGAGGAGAGAGGGGGGTTGATATGACTTACGTAAGACGACGGCACTGAGAGGCTCGACCCCTCTCGAGACACGGAGCTGTACCCAATTGCGCCCTAAACGCCAACAAGCGTTCACCATACAGTTGACAGTTGTGACAGGTGCGTATCGTGATATGTAACGTGTGTCGAATGGTGGTGGTGGTGGTGGTGGTGGAAAATGTGAGTGTGTACAGTCAACATAAGAAACTTGTGTCGCATCGTGGTTTACGGAGTCACCGCTTTATGCACTGTCACCTAGAAGACACATTTTTCTAAATGATATATTTCGAAGCGACACAACTTTCACACGCTGACTGTACGAGTGAAACTGTGAGTCGTCGACTTTCTGCATCACACTCCACTATAATCATTGTAAGGCTTCTAGTAAGCCATTTTCGTACTTGAGATGTTGAAAATACATACAAGGTGATATTAAGTTTGCATTATATCTGGTACCTATCATTATGAGCCACGTGGGCCGACAATGAAAAACGTCGCCTGTATATCGACAACCTAGGTTAGAAAATCTTATAATAAAAGTGGCCAAGAGACATTCCTACAAATTACTTTCAGCTTCCTCAAATGGCCATCATTCCATATTCAAGAAGTGAAACGTCATTATTTTGCAAAAAATCAAAATCAGCCTTATCGTGTTGACCGATTTTTTTACGAACGTTTCTGCTCATGTCATTATCTCATATTTTGGTTAATTTGTGGTGGAGGGTGAGTTGTTATTTCAGAAAAAGCCATGACTGACTTTGAGGGTCTTAAAACGGTATTTACGTGCGCTACTAATAAATGTCTTTTCGCATAAAAATAACATATATTTTTGGGAATAGTTTGTAATTTATATCGGCACAGAAGACATTCAATTTTGGAGAATCCCTTTCATGTTGCACAATCATATGAGGATTTTACGTGCCCCATATCCGAATGTTATGACGGTTCACCCTTCCACTTAAATGAAATGTCGATTCGTCGCTGAATACCAGACAGTTAGCAAATTCGTCGTCCTCCATTGCCTTCCAGTGATATGTCATTTAATATTATATTTGCAATACTTTCTGAAATATAAATTTTTAAAACCCGATGATTCTTTTGTAATAACCCTGTTCGCTATACAGGGTGTTTCAGTTTATTGTTAAGATTCGATAGAACTTTTAAAATTGATGCATAAAGTCTATATAAACATGGATCGAAAAATGCGTGGCTTCCAAAATACAGGGTGTTTAAATTTACTTTCTAAAATAGTTTTTTTTAAATATTTCGAACAATATTTGATGTATAACAGTGAAAATTGGTATACAAGGGTTTTTTGGTACGACAAAACGAACCATGGACATAGTTTTACTGTAGCCGCTAGAGGGCGCTCTCTACTGTACCTGTAGTGTATTAAAATAACCGAAAAATTTTTCTTAGTGCAATTTTTTGCTTTTTGAATAAAAAAAACTGATTCCTCGCACTTTTCGACATAAAAAAGCTCTCCTGTGAGTTTTCGTTATATATTATATATATATTTTTATTTATTTTCTATTTGCGATAATCAGTATGTTAATTATGAATGTTTGCCAAATAATGCGACGTTTGAATTTTTGAAATTACAATGGCACCACCTAGCGGCCACTTTAGTAAGTTGAAAATTATTTCCAGCCATTTGTCTTGGCCGTCTTCTTAATAAAATTGTCTGACCGATAGCTCCAGCTCGAGAGGTTGTCGAGATGCTTTCTTATTGGCCCACCCAGTACACGAGTAATAAGCAGCAGTTGTTTATCGTTTGAAAGTATCAATTTATAAAAATTCAAATATATCCTGATCGACCTAAATGCAATAGGTTCAGTTGTCTTCTTCCTATATAAAGATGACTGGTATCTGACCTATACTATTTCTAAATCTAAACTATAACATGCTGGCCAGTTCCAGTACTAGAAGCTTAGCTATATCACCCTGTAAGTAAGCTACACTGCGAGAAAATCACTAAACAAACTATTTACGAGTAAAAGAGAAAACTATTGACGTATGTACACTACCAACCCTAATGACTAAAGAATCTAGGTTGCATGTGGTGCAAAAATCTTTCAACTATATCTTGTAAGCATCTTTGTGTAACGTGTGCTTCAAAAAATAATTTACAACAAAAAATCACTGCGGAAATAGACAACATATGAACATCTTTAGTTGAAATGAAATGACTAGGCATTGAAATAAGCTAGATGTATACCTAGTAAGTTCATCATCGAGCTTCCTATCAAGGTATGCCAAAATACTTATAGAAATTCAGTGATTTTTTGCTGAAGTAAGTCTAGATCTGTAAAGAAATATACCTAAGTAATAGCTATCTATTCATAAAAAACTGTACATTAACACTATCAGACATCCAGTAACAGTCCAGTATATTATATATTTAAATAGGGTCCAGAACCCCTGTCAATTCTATGTTTGCTTATTTATGCGATGGTTAACCCACCTGGTAATATCATATTTGAATAAGTGCATGACGTAGTGAATTCAAAATTTGAACTCAATTTCATTTGTGATTTTCGGGAGGAGTTTCATATTGGCATATTACCGTTGTTGCAGTGTGGTGATCAAATGAGACGATTAAGCATAAAGCGCTTAGAGGCCGATAACCATGGTTAGAATATTTATCGCTCCCAGGGATTTGCTTAACGTGGGATTGATGTACTTTTGTTTTATATCGTATAACGTAATTGTAGTAAGTGGAGCGTCCTATTGGTGTAGACTTTGTAGTATTTGAGAATATTCTAATTTATTATTATAGGTAAATGCGTTGCATGTTTGAGTGCAACATTGTTCTATTATATTAAATAAAAGTACCTTTTCTGTACTCATAATTAAGTGGCCTTGTTCATTTTCAGGTATCCATTTCCCTATCTTCTGAATTTAAAACGAAGAATTGCTGCTAGTGAATGACGAATATTGACACCTTTGTTACACTTATTCATAAAATAAAACCAAATTACAGTGGTTCGGATGGAATAACTTTGCATATGACTATTACGTATGTCTGAAATTGATATGTACTTAACCCATATAATCAACTGCTGTTGGGGTATTTCCCAGATCAGTGGAAATATACTATAGTTATCCCGCTACCTCTTCCTAACTATGGTCAACTGAGACCGACGACTTTACTGCATATTTTCCTAAAACTATTGGAACGCGTTGTTTACGAGCAGATCTGTGCCTATTTATATTCTAACAAAATTAATCTATCTAAACAATCTGGATTTCGACAAGTTCATAACAAAGCTTCGGCATTCTGTGATTTAACAGACAATATAACAATGCCGCTTGAAAACAAAAAAAAGCAGTAGTCCTCACACTTCTTGACTTCACTAAAGCATTTGACACAATTAATCATTCAATTCTTTTGCCTAAATGCAGTTATTATGGATTTTCTGAAAAACCTCTTTCGTTTATTCAAACCTGCCTTGTAAATCGGTTTCAAAAGGTTCTTTGTAAATCACAACAAACAATAGTTCGTGTGTACCACAGGGATCCGTGTTAGGACCCCTATTATTTTCACTTTATATCTCGGACTTAAACACAGAGGTAAAATCGTGCAGTATAGATTTTCTATTCATTGAAGAGCAATGGCTCGGAAACAGCTGATAGTAAAATTAATCAAAATCTTGTCCGAATCGAAAAGTTCAGTAGTAGTACTCGTAATCTTCGATTGAACATAAATACCAGCGCCTAAGCGTCACTCAAAGGGTTCTTTATTCAAAAACACCGTCACATGTAGTAGCCAAATTCATACCTACAGGAAATATGCATGGCATTAGAA